ACGAGATAAAATTTCGAAAAAAAATTCCTCTGCCATAAATTTTGACCCTAAATCAAATGGTGATACTGAAAAATTATTTGGAAAATCGGAAAGGGTAGTTTTTGTAAGGGTAGGGGGTTGTTTCGTGAATAACTTTTTTGAGGTTATTTTTTTTTGCAACGTGGGTTCATTTTTTGAAAACTACATACTTTTTCTTACAAAAAAGGGACTCTTGTTGCACATCGCCCAGAGCGATGGTTTTCGAGAAAATTAAAGGCAAAGGGTTTGCTATGATGGGTTGCTAACTGGTTAATCAACATAAACTTATGAAAGTTATAGCGGTTCAAAAGTAACCAAGTACTTATTAAATAATTAATTAGAAAATCAAAATTTCATGATTTTTAAAACATCTTATTGCTTTAAAAACGAAATAATCTTTTTTGGTTTTCTCAGTGCCGATTAATACTGAGGAGCAACTACGGCAACGCATTATTGACTGTTCCAATGAAATTCGGATAGCAACAAGGATATTCCACAGGGTACGCAGATCGTGGAGAAGAAGATCAGATGTCTACATTGAAATGAATGGTGGTCACTTTGAACATTTACTATGAATGAATTAGGGAATGCATTATTTTAATAAGGAATTTTGGTAATTGGATTATTTCGTTTTTTAAAGCAATAAGATGTTTTAAAAATCATGAAATTTTGATTTTTCAATTAATTACTTAATAACTACTTGGTTACTTTTGAACCGCCATAACTTTCATAAGTTTATGTTGATTAACCATTTAGCAATCCATCAGAGCAAACTTTTTGCCTTCAATTTTCTCGAAAACCATCGCTCTGGGCGATGTACAACAAGAGTACCTTTTTTGTAGGAAAAAGTATGTAGTTTTCAAAAAATGAACCCACGTTGCAAAAAAAATAACCTCAAAAAAGTTATTCACGAAACAACCCCTACCCTTTCCGCTTTTCCAAATAATTTTTCAATATCACCATTTGATTTAGGGTCAAAATTTATGGCAGAGGATTTTTTTTCGAAATTTTATCTCGTTCTTTAAGCCTACAATTTTAAAATAACCGTTTTTTAAATTCACCCTTTCAGTGCCCCTAACTCCCTTATTATAGGAACTTTTTTTACTATTTTTAGGAGTACTATCACCCCCCGATTTTTTTACACCATTTCAGTGACACTCTTAAATTACAGTGTTGCACAAATCTGTAATAAGTTTGTAATATATTTCTATGCCGTTGAGAAATACATTTTTGTGTAAATATTCATTGTGGCGGTGTAAAGCTGATTCAGTTTTGTTCATGGGAGAAAATCCTATAACTGGTATAAATTAAATAAAAAATGTGAATACAAACAAGTTGGTAGTAAATACAATAATTAGCAACAAATAAAATACATTAATTAGCAACTATCTATAACGATTATTATAGTATATAGTTTGTCCAATGGAGGAGGGGATCCCTGACAGTGACAGTTGTGTTTATCATCTTAATTCACAGGTAAATTGTATTTTCTGTCTTTCTGAAATCTTTCCTGAGCCGTTGGATAGACTATATAAATGCCAGCAATTATTTGATTAACTTAATTTTGTGGGTTATACATTTGGTGCCCAACGTGGGGTATTAATTTCCCTTGGTTTCAAGACAATTAAATAATTGTTGAAATGAAACGGATTAAATCAGCAGATTTGATTTTAGACAAGAAGCAAAACACAGATGAGATGAGGAGATTATTTTTGTCATGTTCTGCCTATGTTACACACGTTCACATGTTTCATGGTGTTTTAATATGTAAAATATGAACGTGTGTGTGGATTGACTTTTATTGTATTTGTCTGATGATGCTCGTATGAGCGAAACACGTGTCACTGTTTAACTTAATATAAACGTTTAGACCATAGACTTAAAAATAAAATATAGACTACACTATTTACATCTCAACGCGGACAAACAACCTTTTTTGTACACATGTTTACTTCTGGGTACAGTCGACCGAGCCTTCCTCATCCAGCCTATGTTGTCACGTCTTTAATATTATCAATATTTTTTTTCTTGTTATACACATTTATTGAGATATTAATACTACAGTTTAATAAAGTAGGTTTTAATATTCCATAGATGTATTAAATAGTCCTTATACTACTAAATTTAAAGTCGGATACTGTTTAATAAGGATAAGTTTTTTACAATAGGACAACACCGATTAGAGGCGAGGGAGCCTATTCATTCATTTATTACCTTGTAGTACGTGTCGCACGTGTGCGGTAAAGCTTTGTTGCCGCTATCTCCCCGGCTGTATTAACGCATTTTCTGAGCTTGTAGTCCTTAAGTATTTATTTTATTGACTTTTTCTGTTCAAAAACTATAAAATATGGTTCGCCAGTGCCAAATTTGCAAGAAATTTGACTTAAATAATCCATTTAAGTCTTGAAACGACTTTTGACCGGTAGGCAACTCTCAATTTACCCATTGGGAGTCAGTGGCGTTGTTGTAGAAAGGCGCTTATTTAGATAATATTTTAGTAAAATGTAAAATCTGATTTTTTTCTCTTACATTACATTATTTACTTACTTACATTGTAACAAAATCATAATTATAACCCTGTTAATAATTAATAATGTTTTTTATTAAAAATATATTCCAGTTTATTCTAAAATTATCTTCAGAATCTAAAATAACATACAAGAATTTTAAAATGATATTACATTATGAAACAATATTTTTTAATATACCGGGTTGTCTCAAAAGTGGCTCACCCCTATAACTTTTTTATTTTTTCAGATAAAAAAAACAGATTTGTATGTTAGTAGGTATATGACATAAATTAGGATTTATTGACGTATTCAATTGTTTTTGGTCTCTTCCTGTTTCACCGAAATGATTACATCTTTTGATTTTTAAAGGCACCCTCGGTATATTGCTTATTTCGATAAAAAATTTTACTTTATTATATATTATTACTTTTTTACTTTATTCGATAAAAAATGACACTCTGAATAGAATGACATACCATATGTCAACTTCTGACATTGTCGCTTAAAAATATATTCAATTTTAAATTTCAATCCAGGGTGCCATGGTGTTGTTAAAAACACTAAGTTTTAATCAAGGAGCCTTGGAAAAATAGTTTTGATCGTCTAATAGGTTTCGTGTCTTGTCTAGGCCGGTTAAAAGATGTACAAATCGTATTTTTAATCATACATATGTCAATTTTTTCAAATGGAACAAGGGTGACTCATTAGCATATTTGGAATATATTTTATGAATATATTGATACCACACACTTGGTATTTCGAGTCAAATTGTCGTTATGAACCGCGTGTTACAATTACAATTAAACCATATGCGAAAATGTCAAAATTTGACATATTATATGTCATTCTATTCAGAGTGTCATTTTCTATCGAATAAAGTAGAAATATACCGAGGGTGCCGTTTAAAAATTAAAAGTTATAGTCATTTCCGGTGAAACAAGAAGTGACCAAAAACAATTGAATGCGTCAATCAATCCTAATTTATGTCATATACTAACATGCTAAATCTTGTTTTTTTATTTGAAAATATAAAAAAATTATGGGGGATGAGCCACTTTTGGGACGCACCCGGTATAATAAAGACAGTACCGAGTTAAATAAATGTAGTTTTCATTTTATCCACTTCCTATCACCTTCCTTGCTTTAATGGAACAGATTTATGTTTTCTCTAATTTACATAAGACATCACTTAACCAGAAAAAAATTACAACAATCATATTTTTTTCTCCCTGTCGCCGATTCTATTATATCTGTGGAATATATCCTGTTTTGATTAATATTAGGGGTTGTAAATGTTTGACTAAAATTAATAATTTATTATTAATTTCAAAAATTACGTAATTTCGATTATAAAATTTCTTCTATAACGTGTATTTTATTATTTTTATCCTTTTGGACTCTAAGACGTTTTTCTAAACTTTTATTTAAAAAACCTGTCCTAAATCTTAATAAAATATAAAAAGTTTAAATACGATATATTTTTTAATTTAATTATAGCTTCATTAAAATAAAAAAATTACCCGGCTATGAGACGGAGAGTTCAGGTGTACTTGAGAAACGAAAGACAGTGTTGTGTTTCTCGGCAGAGTCGTCAGGGAACGACCGTTACGACAGAGACAACCTATCTATCGCTCGTGTTGCACTCGTTATAACCTAAAACAATAACACAACAATAACAAGATATTGTCTGACCGCATGTTCCAGCTATTTATGAATGAGATGCTCAGTCTATATTTTATTTTAAGTCTATGGTTTAGACCGAGACTTTGAATCTTTTTTATACTTCTTTTTAATCGTATTTCAAGAATGAAAGCTTATAAAATACGAAATTTTCTATAAAGTTGACTCATCTCAGTACAATCATTTGATGAAGACATGCCAGCTTGCTTGGAAATGATTTATGTTCTGAATACTAATCTTTAAGAAATACTATAAAACATATAATAAAACATAATAAAATGATAGCGTATAATCGAAAAAAAAAACGGCATCAAAGATGGCTGGGGAATGACAATCGACGATAATTTTGGCGAGGTCAATCTCTAGACGTCGTTTACTAAAAATTGAAATAAAACTTGTCAAAAACACTAATTATAGAAAGATTTAAAAAGAAGAGAACGTTTCCAGACACAAATCTATTTCCAAAAAAAAAATCTCGAGTTTTAAACTACACCATTTAAAATTTTTTCCTCAATATAAGAATAAATTACAACATCCTTAAAGGTGCATTCAGGCTGGGAGCGTCGAGAGTCGCGTCGCGTCCGCGTGTCGAAATGGAATCAATTCATTTAACTTAAATTAGACCGTTCAGGCGTCCGCTGAGCGTCGGGGAAGAAGTTCGGGTCAAATAATGACGTCTAGCGCTTGATCTCGCCAAAATTATCATTGACTGTCATTCCCCAGCCGTCCTTGACGCCGTTTTTTATTTTCGATCGTATAGTATAATATAATAATAAATATTATAGACACAAATCAATTATTATAATATTTATTTCACAAGAAACAGATGTAAACATAAATATAAAATAAAGGGTAAACTTGTAGATATGTATATTATTATTGCACTTCAATTAATTGTTTGGTATAGACATTAACTTTTATCAATATAAGGCACAACATTCCATAAAAATACCATCAACTACCCTGTTCTGTCATCAACATTGGCGACTGCTTTTAGGATTTCTTCGTAAATTTCAATTCCACGTAAAAACACGTCCTTGTTCAGATATTCATCGTGATCGTGCAACAAAACAGGTGTATTGTTCATAGGCGAAAATCCTATCGCCGGTATTCCAACTTCACGAATAAATCGGCAATCCGTCCCACCAGGAAATATCTGAGCTTTCAATTTAAGATCGCTAGAAATAAGATTACATTTTAGAAATTCAGTACAAAAACCGTTATACAGAGTGTCTCCTAAATACAGTGGCGCATCTAGAGATTGAGTCTGGGAGGGGTGGCAATAATTAAATAAAGTACAAAATTTAAATTAAATTTTCTCCTAAAAGGTATTAGACGCTTAGGATTTTCTCCTAAAAGGTATTAGAAGGCTACACTTAGATGCAAAAAATGCAAAGGAGAAATTTTTGGTCACATTTAAAGTGTTATATTTTTATTATTTTAGCCCTATTTTTATGAATTTTTTAGCAAGCTGTATATAATTATATCAACTTTAATTCGTAAACTCGGCTTTGTCTAAACTTTAGTATTTGCCATATTATACATTACTTTGAAACACCCTGTGTAATAATTTTGCCTGTAAATTTTCCTAAAATATAATTTTACGGTCAGAATCATTTTGTTTTTTTGATTAATGTCAATACATGCTTTGGTTAATTTTTAAGAGCGAAATGAACTGATAACGCTCAATTTGCAACTTTTTTAATTATCATTACTTTTTGACGTAATTTTTTAATATGACGAGATGGTTTTGGTGACTATTGTCGTAACGTCATATTACACTGCATTGGATACTCTATACTAAATTAAAAAAAAAACGTTAAAGACTAACGATACAGTCCGGGTTTTAATAAACATTAATGACGATAACAGAACTAAGGATATTAAAGAAAACATCTGTAATACTCAAGTATACTAACAGAAAAAAATGTCAAAAATACCCTAATACGTTGTATTGCCGCCCATGCGCTGCTATAACTGCGTGTATACGTCCGTTTATACTGTCATTGAGACTGCATAATATATCATATTGCGTTATGTTTTCTCATTCTTCTTTAAGGACCAAGCGAAGTTCATTTAATGAAACTGGTACTGCTTCGCGACCTCTAACCCTCCTGCCCGGAATTTGCCAAACGTCGAACATGATGGGCGTTCATAGTAGTATATAGTTCACAACAGGGGCGAGAAAGTGAAATAGCAAAAGCGGTTCCACCGTTTCCACGGAAATTTCAAATAAAATAGTTCCAGCCTCAGGCGCTAGGTGGTAGTGCAATTAATTTTTAGGTTAAGAAGTTGCTACTAGTTATTGCCAGATGGCGTTAAATCAGAATTTTTTTGTAGTTTCCATAGTTCCCAACGGCCATTGTCATACTATTATCAAATTCTCAAAAAATATTGTCGTTGTCATAGCGCCAATCATAATATTATCAAATTATTATCAAAACGTTTTTCAAACTATAATTTGTTATAGGATAGGAATGTGTTTTAATTAGACAATTCCTTTTGTTTGTGTCCCTAAAAATATAATGTAAGTCTTTTTTTGCCATCATTTAAGTACCTATTTATATTTACTCCATTTACAAAACTTTGGGCGTATTATGTTGGTCTTGTTTTAGTATAATAAGCGATGTTTAAATATTTGATTTATAAATAAAAACTTTAAATAATAAATAATACTTACACGTTTGGCTTTAATTTTATTTAATAATAGTATAAATTATACTGTTAAATCTTATTTTTTACACATCACAACGATACTTGTTATTAGTATTGTTGAATTTGTGTAAAAAATAAGATTTAATAATCAAATTTAATTATATGTATATTTTAGAGTAAAATTCAATAAATACGCTCATTTAGAAAGCCCGCGCTTCGGTCCATTTAAAACAAGCCCTACTCAGTAGATGGCGCGACTTCTGTAGGACCATTTTTCAGTATGGCAGAGTCCATTCTTTTTCTAGCTAGGTATATTCTCTGGTTCACAATAATCACCAAAGCCACCTCGTCATATGGAAAAAGAAATGATAATTGAAAAAATTGGAAATTGTTGGTGGCAAGCTCATTTCGCTTTTAAAAATTAACCAAGGCATGTATGTATTGACATGATCCAAAAACCAAAATGCTCAGGAGACATGATTCTGACTGTAAAGTTATATTTTAAGAAATCTTACACAAAAAAATTATTGCACAGTAGATATATGGATTTTCTATAAAAGAGCCAATTACGGCAAATTCATTTTCTTCACTTTCAACGACAGGTTTCTGCCTAATAAGTTTTTATAAACTACACTACCAACTCTGCGAAATAGGACAAGTAATTTACGAACGCTTATCAGGAAGATTCCTATTTGGATATCTTTGAGCATAAGCTCTTGAGGCCAAGAAGCAATTTTCCTCACAAAATAAAATCACTAGTAACATATCCATTCGTTCCGCCAGCAGATATGGCTTTATTTTTCTTGATAAAATAAAGAATACTTACTTATTAAATTGTGGGTATAATATTGTAATTTAAGTAAACTGTTTAAATAAATAGTAACTAACTGTCACTAGAAAATTGCCATGGCGATACCAGCCATCTTGATTGCCATTTTATTGAAAAATCACTTTTTATTAAAAATCTGAGATAGATAGGTATAGGAAACCCTAATATAGTTTGAAAGAGCTTCGATTTATTTAAAAAAATACAGGGTGTTGCATTTGAAATAACGAAGCGTTTATGTAAAATAAATCCTTAAAATGGTTAGGAAGCAATAACATTTTTCAGTAAAGTTTATTTCTTTACCTTTACACTCAGCACAATAATTAATTCTGAAAAGAAATGTGGTACAGGGTAATGATCTATTCTATTGCAGCTTGCATAAATATCTTTAAATATCTCAAAAACCACAGATTTTAAACATATTTAACCCTTATAATAAATGCCTTTTTTTGGGCCCAAGAATCCAAAAATGAAATTAAAAAATAGAAGAAAAAAGAAAGCTTCTCTTTCTCAGGGGGGTTAATGCAATAAGCAACACCAACAGGTCTATATCCTCCTATGACTGTCACAGTTTGATGCTGGTTAGCTGCCTGCAAACCACAGCTTACGATTTTGGTATCAGCGTATCCTGTGGCTACTACTGCTATTAGTCTTTGAGCTTCAATTTTTTTTGCAAGAAAGTTAATAAACCTCTTCACTACTTCTCCTAGGGAAAAAATGAATAGGACCTTTTTTGTAAACAATTGAATTTACTTTCATTTTGTATAGATCATTTTTTTCGCTAGGATCCTTAGTTTTCGAGATAATAACGAAAAATATATAAACCGGCCCTTTTCACCCCTTCCCCCTCACCACACGACTAACGCACAAGGTCTATGGCTGGGGACTTTTGGTATGTTACTTCTAAAGGTTAACCCTACCACTTAAAACAATAATTTCTTTGACACTATTTTTTTTCGAATTGCGGCATTTTTTGGTGTTCCTTTCCTGGCCTAATTCTAAAGGCTAAATAGTAATACATTAATTATTGTAAAATCATTAATCCGAAGACACCTAAAGTAAATTCCGAAAATGAGCGAAAACAAAGAAAAGCACCTATATTCACAATGATATTAGCACAGATAACACATAATCCAGATGGCTCCTTACGTGTTAAAAATTGTCACCTTAATTTCCCTCCAATTTTGAAAAATATTGGAGTGACATTTGAATAATCTGAAATTTTTAGATTTCTTTTCTAACTTTTTTGGGAGGTTTTGCTTCTCTTGCACAGATGTCGCTTGCACTTCAGTTGCGTGGTTGCCAAACGTTATATCGAAATATATTTCATTTCATTATGAATATATAAAATTAAAGGTATACCAAATTAAAAATTATGTAATTTATAAACATGAAATAGATATGTTAAGTTAATATATAAATATTTAACTTAATACGTTCATTATTATTTTATTAATTTATCGTCACACGTCATTTACCAGTTGCCTAATTACGAAAAGTCAGACATATCACAGCCACCCTAGATTTGATCAAATAATAAAGATCTATTCACACTAAATCATAGAAATGAAAATATCTAGGAAAATCTTTGTTTGAGGGGTAGGCCGGCAACCTTAATAGTATTTTGAAGTGACATGAATTTCCCATTGAATATCGGAATAATATTCTGGGTGATTCAATTAAACTAAAGGAGTTATACAGGGTGGGTATTAAAGGAGTTATACAGGTTATACCAATGTTCAGCATTAATTTTGCCTCACCCTGTATAACTTTATGGGTCAGGTTTTAATTTGATTTAAAGTGCAATAGGGTAAATTCCAATTTAGGTAGTTTTTCTTGAAATTTAAAAATTGTTCTTCATTTTTAGAAAATCTTAAAATCAAAAAAGTCTAAAACCTTACATTTCAGTCATATACTTCCCTAATAAAACTCATTTTTATTTTTCTCTTAGAATCTAAAAATTAATTAATAAAGGAGGTATTCCATTACAAAAAAACACAAATTTGATGTGTAACTTTTTTGGGGACACCCTGTACAACTCTCTATATTTTTAAAACGTGCTCAGAATTAACTTACATATTATGCTCACAAAATTTCATTTCAATACGAACTCGTCGTTCTCCTTGGAGCCTCCGAATCGTATGAGAGGCGCCACCCTGTATAATTTTTATATTTTTTATATAGTTGCCCTTTAATAAATTGTTAGTTAAAACTAACAGTCCTACGAGTGTGGAATTTTGTACAGGTGGATTTTGGACATTCATCTCCTAAGAGAGTGAAATAAGGGATGAAAATTTCTACAAACATTTGTTAAAATCGGGTTTAGAAGTATAAAATTCTGTTTGTTCCTTATGTAACATAATTTAGCAATAACAAGCAATTTTTTTCAGAACGTCCACACCTCATTTCACCACGTTAGAGGGCGAATTTCCAAAAATTGTTCCTTAGTTCTAAATTACGTTACATAAGGAACGTCTGCGCAAAATTTCATACTTCCAAAACCGATTTTAATGAATTTTTGTACAAATTTTCATCCCTTAATTCTTATGGGGCGAATGCCTAAAATTCGCTTCTGAGTACTCACTTTCATCACTTGAAGAACCTCTGTGCAAATTTTCATACTTCTACGACAAATCGTGAAAAATTTCATGCTCTTTAAACCAGATTTTAACAAATTTTTATGGAGCCTTTAATCCCTAATTTCACCCCCTTTGCGGTCGAATTTTCAAAAAATCCCTTCTTAGTGCTCGTTTACATAACTTAAGGAACCTATGTGTCAAATTTTATTTATTACTATATAGATAACCTTTACCCTTATTTTCAGCTAACGAATATTAAGAGACAAATAATAAAAATAAAATCTAAATTATAAATTTCATGGCTATAAATAGCATACATATGCATCTAGAAATTCTGACTTTCAAACATCCACTGCGACTAGTATTTTCATATCCAATTGTCTAGTATTAAAGTCCGAATATACATTTTCCCTGGGTTTGACCGGAAATTTGCTTATAAATGTGAACAACCGTCTACGTCGCTTCACATCACGTGGCCGTGGCGTGACTCCAAATTCGTTCGTTTTAAAAATATTATTAGATTTGGCTATAGGCGCCCTCTGTGTCATTAATAGGGAACTGTCTCATCGAAAACATGCTGTTCCGTAAGCAATAGCCATCTGGATTATGTGTTATCTGTGATATTAGTACGATATATGACGTAATTATCTATATTATATTAGTATTAACTTACAGTTCGTCCGCGCTTTTCTTAAAAGCCAACCAAAATGGATTGGTATTATCTAATTTAGTAGGTGGAATTTGCGGTTCCTTTTGTTCCCATTCAATCCACACATCGTTCCCGGCTTCTTTACACCACTGATATACTTGTGCTTCCCATTTCTTATTGTCCACAGTTGGAGCAATGCGACAATCGATTGTTATAATCAATTCTGGTGGAACCACATTTGACTGTACTCCTCCCTACAACTCAATTTTATTTGGTAATCAATTTAATCAATTTAAACTTTTTCAAATGATTTAATTCAATTTGTTCAAAAAGTAACTGTCTAGGTTTATTTATTTTCTACAATAAAATTATATAACAATTCTTGCCACTTAACTGCTGATATAGAAATTTAATTCTACGCTGTGTTTGTCATAATGTGGATCAACCTGCTCTCACTACCGGTTTCGGAGCCCTACTCCATCATCAGGTGAGCTTGGGCAGATCCACAAAATGACAACCACAGCGCAGAGTAGTTAATTCCGACTTGTCAGAAAGTATCGGTTAGATATTAAGTCCCGAACGGGAAAAATTCTATTTTCCCGTTCGGGACTTAATAATTAAAAGAAGAGTAGAATTAAATTTCTATATCAGCAGTTAAGTGGCAAGAATTCTTATATAATTTTATTATATACCTATACTGCAAGAAATTTGTTTTCTATTTTATTTTCTACTAAATTAATCAGTTTACAAGTCAGTTGGTCCAGTAGCGATGGGAGTGAGCGTGGATATAGTAATTGGATGAGCAAAAAATAGATTTCTAAAGTTATTTCATCCCAGATAGTGATGGGCATTACGATTCTTTTTAGTGGATCGAATCACACAATTCAATTTCTCATATTGAATCGTCTCCTACGATTCGTTCATTTGAACGAACCACATGCACAATTTACGTTTCATAAAAACAAGAATCGTAACTGGCACTAGCGGCGATAATTTGGTCGGACAATTACATAAGGGACCAGAAAAAGAAATATACAGTTCTTTCATTTGTTTCTCAACACTTTATGACGCTGGCGTAATTGGATTGATTATTTTACCATTAATATTAAATTATCAATCCAATTCATATATACCATTTATTAAAGACTTCTTAATACCAATTTAATATTTTTTGAGACATATTTTAATTCCGATATAATAATCATTAAATAGTATATGATACCGCATGATCGAAAAAAATGGCGTCCAGTTGGCTTGAAAATGAACATCGATGACATTCCCCATATAATTTTACATATAAAATGACAGCGATCTTCATTTTATAACCATCGCTGACGCCGTTTTTTTATCATACTGAGCAGAGGCCAACCATATTTCTTTGGAGTTGCATAAAAACACGATTTCGTCTTTTAGTTCGACATTTAATGGTTTATAGTCGGTAATATTATTTTAACAAAAATATTAACGTGATATATATAACTCCCGTAGTAAGCACAGTATAAGTTTTTTTCTTGTAAATAACTTTCTTATCGTTTGCAGGCAGAGCTCAATTTTTTCGACAAAGCGTCGATATGCATGTCCCATTTTAGAGAATTGTCTACAACAAGCCCTAAGAATTTTATAGATTTTACGACGTCAATGGTGGTGTTGTTAAGCCGCGTCCAAGCTACTCGAACAAAACGTTCGCGAACATATATAATTCACACTATATACTCGTAGCAGCAGGTAGGTCGTAAACGACGGCACAGCCCATCGCATCGGTCCCGAGGACTGAGGTGCGGAGAAGAATGCGACAACCAGTTTGCTCTATAGATCTAGGATGCGTTTAGGTAGCCGCTGTTTTTTCGAGTGCCCGGATTTCGAGTGCAAGCATTTTATTAAATAAATTAACCGGTAAACAGTTTAAGAACTTTTGTAGTTGAAGAATCAACATTTAGCAGGCGGAAGGTTACAGGGGTCTTTTGGTAGACTATTCGTTATAGTGTATTTTTAGACCTGTGTTCATTTTCAGCCGATTCTACCAGGTGTTTCTCAAAAGGGGCTCACTTTTTTACTTTTTTATTTTTTCAGATAATACAACGAAATTTGGTTTGTTAGTATATGACATAAATCGGGATTGATTGGCGTATTCAATTGCCTTCGGTCGCTTCCCGTTTCACCGGAAATGACTACAACTTTGTATTTTTAGATTGTATCCTAAGTACTTTTTTACTTTATTTCATAGAAAATGACATTCTGAATAGAATGACATACCATACTTCAATTTTAGACAATTCCAATTAAATAAAAATAGCATTTCAATCTAGAGTGCCAAGACTGAGTTAAAACTATTTATATTAATTTGTAATCAAAGAACTTTGGGAACATATATTTGATCGTGTAATTTTTTTTCGTATCCTTTCATGGCCGCTTAAAAGATGCTCAAATCGTATTTTTAATGATAACTCAAATTTTTCAAATGGTACGAGGCTGGCTCAGCATATTTGGAAAAAGCATTTTTACGAATAATTTGGTACCACATACTTGGTATTTGAAGTAAAATTGTCGTTACGTTTATTTATGACCATTTTTAAATTGAAAATGTCAAAAGTTGACATATAATATATCATTCTATTTAGAATGTCATTTTCTATCATATACGGTAAAAAAATACCGAGGGTACCATTTAAATCAAAAGTTGTTTTCATTTCCGATGAAATAGGTAGTGATCGAAAATAAATGAAAACGTCGATCAATCCTGATTTATGTCCTATACTAAATATATCGTTTTACTTCGTTACCAAATGTCGTTTTTTATCTAAAAAATTAAAAAAGTTATAGAAGTGAACGACTTTTCAGAAACACCCGGTATATTTATTTCTAAAAATGTAATGGTAAAATTTCATTTCCGGTGTCAAACTTCCTATTAAGTAGTAATTTTTAATTTCAGAATCCCATAATAATTCCGGTTTTTAATAAAAATAATCATAAAGGTCTTTATTAACAAAAATGAAATTATATGGACGAAGTCTAGCTACATAGCTATTCACACTCAACCCACAATAAAATCTATAGGTACTAATATATAAAATCCTAAAGTGACTGACATACTGATTAATCACGATCCTGCTCAAACCACTCAACGTAAGCTTAATTTTGGCATACAGGTTGATTCTAGGGTGTAGAGGTTCGATAAGAAGGGATTTTTCGAAATTCCAGTTCCAAGAGGGTGAAACCACCCCTCAAATATTACAATATTTTTTATTTAAAAAACGGTCAAGTTTCCGAAAAACGCTTAAACACGTATATTTTATTTTGTTTTTTACATATTTTAAGATTTTTTAAAAATGTATACAGGGTGTTTCGAAAAATCTGGTCATTGATCAATCACGATCCTGCTTACAGCGCTTGACGTAAAAAGCTGATTTTTGGAAAACAGATTGACTTTAGGGTGTAGAGGTTCGATAAGAAGGGATTTTTCGAAACTCGAATTCTAAGGGGGTGAAACTATCCCTCAAATATTAAAATATTTTTTATTTAAAAACCGGTGAGTTTTTCGGAAAAACTCTTAAACACGTATATTTAATTTTGTTGTTTTACATATTTTAAGATTTTTATAACCTTATACAGGGTGTTTCATAAAATATGACCATTGAGTAATCACCATTCTGCTTAAACTGCTTGACGTTTAAAGCTGATTTTTGGCAAACGGATTGACTGTGGGGTGTAGAGGTTCTATAAGGGGGGGTTTCTCGAATCTCAAATTCCAAGAGGGCGAAAACGCCCCTCAAATATTATAATATTTGTTATTTAAAAAACGGTTAGTCTTTCGGGAAAACGCTTGGACAAGCATAATTTATTTGGTTTTTTTTACATATTTTGTTTTTTTTTAAAATTACGCAGGGTGTTTCAAAAGGTTTTTTTTTTAATTTCTTAACCACGATTCTGCTTAAACTGCTTGACGTAAAAAGCTTATTCTTGGCAAACGGATTTTTCGAAAGTCAAATTCCAACGAGATGAAACTACCCCACAAATATTACCAAGTTATATAATAATATCGCCATATTGTTTTTTCTCACGCTGACATAAATGTGAGAAAATTTTATCCAGTTTATATGTTAATGGAAATGCTTGCTTTGCTTTATCATCACCATTACAAATGATTAATTCGACGCGAACGAAGTCGCTGGTACACGCTAGTTAAAATTATAAAATCTTTTCTTTGTGTAAACAAATTAGTTGTAAATGTTTTTCACGATCCCAGTCAATAACTGCGTCTCCCATTGTCGAATACCCGGTAAAAAATAAAAATCACAGATGGACGCCCGAAATTAAATGAGACCCTTCCAAGTGTCCGGTACAATGTCCGCCGAAATGCACGCCGTTCGCTCCTTTTCATTTACCGACACCCGTCGGAAAAAGAACGCGCGCGCTCTAGCATAGGCAGACGCACGCTCTGGCATACATGCTAGGCGTTCGGCGCTCCGCGCTCCTTAATAGGCCTAGACTAGCTGTACTTGTTGGCTTTATTATTTATAAATCTACCTATCGCACAATTTTCACTTATTATCTGTTTAATTATATACGTTCGCGAACATTTTGTTCGAGTAGCTTGGACGCGGCTTTAAGTACAAAAGGCTGCAGCGAGTTTTTATACGACAAAGCTTTAGTTTTGGAAATGTTGAGACTCAGGAGGTTTGAATCGCACCAAGACTTAATGGTGATTAAGTCATTTGATATAATCCTATGAAGTGCCGTGACGTCCTTGTTGCTCCAAGTGAAGCTAGTGTCGTCCGCAAAAAGACATATTTTACCCCTGATGTTTATATTAGCAATGTCGTTAATAAAAAGAAGAAACAAATTAGGGCCTAGAACTGAGCCTTGTGGTACTCCACATTCTATTGGCTTGCTAGAAGACAACGTAGTATCCACCTTCACAAGTTGACTTCTGTTGCTCAGATACGACTTAAACCATTCGAGAGATGTTCCCCTGTGTGGAGTGCTGCAGTTATTAATTAGGATATTATGATTTACACAGTCGAACGCCTTAGAAAAATCACAGAAAATTGTTGCTGTAGAATGATGATTATTTAGGCTGGAGTAAACTTTATTAAGGAGGAAAAACACAGCGTCATTTGTGGACTTGTTGCTTAGAAATCCAAATTGATATTCAGTAAGTATTTTGTACTTAAACAGAAAAGATACCAGCCTTCTTTTAACCAACCTTTCTATGATCTTAGATAGCGTTGGAAGGAGTGCAATTGGGCGATAGTTAGAAGCTTCATCTTTGTCTCCTCCTTTATGCAGAGGAATGATTATTGCCGTCTTAAGACATTTTGGAAAAATACCATTTTGGAACGACATGTTTATTAAAGTTGTTAGGTGATTCAGAGTGGCAGATTCGAAAACATTTTTAAAGTTAGCCCGTCGGTCCCAGATGAGGATTTATTTTTAATAGTATTAATTGTACTGCGAAGCTCTTCTAAAACTACGGGCGAAAAAAGAAACTGTGTAAGTATACATTATCATTAGAGAGATATGAAAGTGGATCATGAGAAGGACATATGGTATTAGTTAATATTATATAAAAATTGGACCAGACAAAGTAATCTGTAAACAAGTTAATGTATAGAATATGATTGTTAATAAATAATAACAATATATTAGTAATAATATATTTTATGGGGATAAAATTATTCGCGCTTATATTAATTACCTCTAATTGTGTAAGATTCACTGTAGTAACATCTCCAACGGTTAACTCAGAGTTTCCTTTTAAAATATCAACTTGTTCCTTTCGAAATTCAAAGAATTTGTTCAAAATATAACTAACTTTTTCGCCAGCCGTGTTTGGCAACAACAGCGATCCATGACCAGGTGTGCCAGGACAATGTATTATTAAATCTAAAAATAAAAAAAATAATGTGTTCGAATTAATTCTCTCAATTTTTTAGGGTAGTAGGTAGCTAGCAAGAGCAGGAGAATAGTAAATTGTGAATATTTTTTTTTGGTTAGCTTTTACTTGCATTATAATTTTTCAAAAACTATAAGCACTGTTATTCCTAAAACAAACATCTTCTTGTAAGTCGCTTAGAGCAATTGTTTTGGGGAAAATTAAAGTTGAATGATGAATAAATTTTAAAATCATAAAGGTTTATAAAAGTAAAATTACTGTTGGGCTGCTCACAGAATAATAGCAAAAATGTATTAAAAATAGTAGTATATTTTAAAATAATCAGTCAGTTAATAAATTGTCTTATTAAACAAAAAAATAAAGTCCTACTTTGGGTGCCCGCTCACCAAGCGATAGAAGGCAATGAAAAATATTTCGCAGTGATGTAAACAGAACCTTGCGATATCCAAATAAACTGGAGTTTCCTGTTTACAGCTCCTCTATCTTTCGCCGCTCCTATCTATATAATGCAATTTTATTGTTTAATAATATCGAAAATAATGTTAAGAAAATGTCTCTAAGCACTTTTCGGAAAAAGCTTAAAGAGGTTTACATGAGCCAACAGATTTGACGTCTCCCTAATCCAGATCACTTTTTTTTATCAGTTTTGTTTTTTTATTGTCATAATATATGATTTTTTTTTTGTTAAATTATTTTATTTTTTATAAATATTTCTTTGTTTTTCTGGTTATTTTCTGTCTGATTTACTAATTGCTGTAGTGCAGGTGGTGCTAACTGTAATTGTATATTTATTTTTTTTTTCTTTGAACAGGTTAAGTAGAGTAGCCATAGGCTAGACTTTGCCTGAAGAAGGAGTATGTATTTTGTTACTTTTCCTTTAATAAAGCCATTTATTATTATTATTATTATTATTATTATTATAAAAAGCCAATGATCTCTCTATGAAAAACAAGCACTATTACATTCTTGCGTAAGTCTAGTTCACGTTAATTTTTCACAGAAAATTTCTTCGATAGGGAAAATACTGCACAGCACTTTTTACAACGATAACAAAACAATTATACATAACCACAAAAAACAAAGCAAATTTACGCCAGATGTCTGTCAACGTTGCCAACGTTTAGCCCAATTCAATGTTATCCTTATATTGCCCATTATTCAACTTATCGTTATTTATGCTTATATTTTACAACATGTGCCAACCCCGCTAACTGAATCTTTCAAACTCACTGCTATCGTCCAGGGAATGCTAGCATTCACTAGTAAATTTGGTTTCAAAAATAGCTGTTGAACTTTTACTGGCGTAGTCTTAGCAAATCAGTGAATGTGAGCTTATCATACAATATATTTTTCTATTGTTCAATCCTTCAAAATGACAAAATGACAGAAATTACAATTTCCCTGTGAATTAAAATGACAGACGCAACTGTCACTAACATGTATCCTCTTGGTGGACAGTCTTAAATAATAGCCAGAGACCTAGACACTCAATAGTAATTTTATGGAACTACAAATTTAGTTTCTTCCGCATCGCCAGACGGCGCAAAAGACATTAAAGTACAGGTTTCTAATTTATATATGAAGATAACATGACAGCCTCTATATTTACTACATATTTACTACCATCTATGGTCTAGTTTTGGTCTAGTTGTCAAAATGTTGGTGTTCCGTCAAGTTATTTTTAAAGAATTTTTAAATAATTATTAATTGAGATATTCCTGAGTTGCCGAAAAGTTCGGTGATTTGTGTCTATAGTTTGTGTTTTTATTAGTTTGTGCATTTTGATATTTACAGTCGATCATCATTTTTGTGTTAGATACTAAACTTTTTTATTAAAGACGTTTTAGACATTTTAGAAATAATACATTTTTGAACAAACTAAAAAGAAAATTGTAAAACAACTAAATGTTCGGACAAACAAAAATTTATTAAAAAATGTTATTTTCATTAAATGAATTATTTACATTTAAGAAATACATTAAAAATATATTAAAATCTAACATTTCTAATAAGTATTTAAATAGTTTAGTTTCTATAAACATTAAAATAAACTGTAGGCCAATAAATAAACAAAAAGATTGCACAATATCGTGATAACTAAATGTTCGCGGACACTTTAAAAAATAACTGTTCTAATCTGGCGTTACATCGGCATGAACTTTTGCAACCACTGCAAGCCTGTGTGGCATTGTTTTTATTAAAGATTGACATACGCCATTTTGCCATAATTCACTGAATATCATCGTCAAATGGGCAACGGTTTCTTGGGGATCGTGGCACAATTTTTGTTTTGTTTTATGCCACATGTCTCGATAACATTAAGGTCCGGACTGTGCAAAGGCCATGAAGGGACCTTGATGTTCATGTCCCTAAACCATTTTTTAGTAGTTTCAGCTGTATGGCATGCCCTGCCATCCTGTTGAAATATAAAATTATTGTCCTGGTCTTTACCAGAACAATTGGTTACAAGGACCTTTGTCCTTCCCACTTGACACAAGAATATTCTTCAAAATTTTTTGACGCATCAATTATGCCTTCTACCACCTCATACTTTTCTGGGCCTATTTTGGACATACCCCTTCAAATCATAATGCCTTTAGGAAATTTCACTGTCCTCTTTTGAGGCAATCTTTATCAAATAGACACTCTAGCGGTGTTAATTATATCGATATCAAGGTGGCCCATGTGCACATGTAATTCGTGCACTTGCCATTTGCGATTGGAATTATTAGCGTCGGATTGGGAAATAATTAAATATTTTACCTTAATGTCATTTTTGTAGTTTGACATCAGAAGTTCCAATCCGACGCTGATAATTCTAATCGCAAATTGCAAGTTCAAGGATTATATCTGCACGCATGCATGATCTTTATGAAAGATGGACAGTGGAATTTCCTAAAGACATTATGCTTTCAGACTTTATGTCCGCAATGGGTCCAGGAAGGTATGAGGTGGTAGAAAGCCACAACTAATGTGTCAAAATATCAAGAAATTTTAAAAAACAGTTTTGTGCCAAGTGTGAGAGACCTTTACCAGGACAACAGGATATGAATTTTATATTTCAACAGGATGGCGGGGCATGCCCATTAGCGTAACTAGCAATTTATCCTGGGGTGGGCCTAGGGGGGGCCTGGGGTTGAGCCCAGGGGGGGTTAGGGCTTTTGTTTTTTTTAAATAGTAAAATTTAAAAAACACATTTTTTGAATAAAATATTTACATGAATTTCTCTATCAATAAATTTCATAGACTTGGTTATCAAACCGTGTTCCCATAGATTACTTAAATACCTACAAATTTACTAAAAAAATAAAAACTAACTCATTTTTTGAACACAACAAAATAATATTAACTAAACAAAACTAGAAAACGTCATTTTTACTGCATCACAAGCAAATAAAAATTAATACGTAGCCAAGATTCATAATTCAGAATTTTTCTTTGGGGTGCCCAGCAGTACCTGAGGGGGCCCGGCACCCCCGGGCCCCCCTGTAATTACGCCAATGGGCATGCCATATGGCTAAAACTACTAAAAAATGGTTTAGTGACATGAACATCAAGGTCCCCTCATGGCCTTCGCACAGTCCGGACCTTAATGTTATTGAGACATGTGGCATAAAACAAAACAAAAATTGTACCACGATCCCCAAGAAACCGTTTGACGATGATATTGTGAATTATGGCAAAATTTTTACTCTGGCGTATGTCAATAATTAATAAAAACAATGACAAACAGACATGCAGTGGTTGCAAAAGTTCATGCCAATGCTTTGTGCCAATGTAACGCCATATTAGAACAGTTATTTTTTAAAGTGTCCGAACATTTAGTTGTCACGATATTGTGCAATATTTTTGTTTATTTATTGGCCTACAGTTTATTTTAATGTTTATAGAAACTAAACTATTTAAATACTCACTAATGTATTTCTTAAATGTAAATAATTCAGTTAATGAAAATAAAGGTTTTAATAAATTTTTGTTTGTCCAAATATTTAGTTGTTATATAGGGCTCGTAGTTGGTAATATAGTATTTTTAGCAGATAATAGTTAATTAGTAGTAGATACTATATTAAAATTTAATTGTTAAGTCAAAAAAATAGGCGGTATGTGCCCTATTGTTGGTGTTTAAAATGTATGTTCTCATAATTTTATTTTTAGTTTTGAATGTGTTGCACTTCTAATGATCTAATACAACATAAAATATAGTAAACAAGTCTATATTTATTACTTTATATTTTAAAAGGAATAATTTTGCGCTTGAATAACGTTACCGTTTTAGTTATAAATAACGGAACGCTAAAATTATGTTATGCTAAACCTCTCCATTAGTTTCTTCCACGTGGCTCTAAATGATGGACTTATTTGTTTTATATCAGTGTCCAATCTATCTCTAATACGTGACATTAGTCTATGATAATAGCTCTGTTCGGGTTCTTGTTATTACCGATTCCGAACCGTCCTAGAACTCTGCGCTCTGCCGTCCTAGAGGACTTCTGCGCATGCGTATAATAGGTCTAGGACGATTCAGAATGGGTAATAACAAAAACCCAAAGTAAGCTTATAAGTACATATATACAAAATATAACATTAATGTTGAAAATATAACAGTTGTCTGTTGATTTAAATAGACTTAAAATAGATTGTTTTTTACTTGTAACTTTTATATTGCTTGTGAAAATCACTTACTTGTTCTCTCATCATTAGACAAACTATTTCAAGATCAAAATAAACTATATTTATTAAAAAAGTAGTGTACTTACGCCAAATGTTTCGTTCAGCATAAAACAAAGGAAATATGTTGGTTGGACTAGCCATACCTTCATCAAGAGCAAACCCTACACGCAATTTCTTAAAATCCTCAGTATGGACAAATTTTTTCATGCCATCTACTCCTCCAATCTCTTCATCTAAAAATATTGTTGCTATAATTTACAAGGAAAGACTCATAGAAAACCATACCTGGGACAAACGATACATGCAAAGTTCTTTTCAATTTGATACCATTCTGTTTCAATCTCCTGATTGCCTCTAAATATTGAATTCCTACACATTTCATATCTTGAGCACCTCTTGCATAAATATTTCCTTTCTCATCAATATGGGCACTAAAAGGTTTGTACGTCCATTTGTCCTTGAATATAAGATATACATTATTTATTTTTTAAATATGCAGAAAATAGGAAGACAATCAAATACCTCGAATACAGGTACAACGTCCATGTGACTATTTAGTAAAATGCTTGGCAGGGCAGGATTTGCTCCTGTCCAAGTGATTATGACTATCGGTTTACCCTCAACAACTGACACAACTTCAATTGGTAAACCCAGGCCTGTTGCTTGGGATTGTAAGAATTTAACACAAGCATCTAAAATATTTGAAATATAAAACTTTAAAAATTTAAACTAAAGTTATAAATTTAAATACTATACAGAATGTATGTGAATACAGAAAAATTCAAAAGGTTTTTTTAATATGGTGATTGTTAAAGATTTTTAATTTGATTTTTACCCCTGTAATGCTAACAATTTTTAAAATATTTAAAATTAATATATTTAAAGATTATTCAAAATGTATGTATTATACTATATACTAAACATAGGAAATCGCATGCAAATTTTGAACTGTCCAGATATTGGCTCTCCTATTAATTTTACAGAGAAGTTTAACTCGGTTTTTAAAGGTCTGCATAATAATAAAATGTCTTTATTTCCAAGTCAGTAAATAGAACAATTTAATTATGTATAATGACAGAGGATAAGTAATAATAATAATAAAACCTATATGTACAGCCAAAGATAATCAAACTTATAGGTTATACAACAACAAATAACAGACCCGGAATGGAGCGAAATTCAGAATTGAGAACAACCCAATTCTGCTCTTCCATTTACCTCCTTACGCGAAATAAAATGATAATTCAAGAAAAATACAAAAGAAAAAAAAATGAATTCACTGAATTACATTGAATACATTAAACAATTTGTCTTTTAAAAAGCCACAAGCGCACACGACTCTTAAAAGGGACATTCCTCGCGGCTCTTAAACTAAAAGGCAGCTTCGGATAGTATTTAGAAACACAGTAGCTAAATGATGATTTAAATATAGTCAACCTGTGGTAAGGAATGGAAATGTGGCTCAGGTGACGAATATTGACATTATGGGCATCTCTTCGGAACTGAATTTTATTGAACAGGTATACAGGAATTTCTTTAGTAATAATATTGTAAAAAGTATTTATCATGTTAAAAATAAATCTGTTTTTCATATTTAACCACTGTAAACGCTGTAATGTGAATGTGACGTGATCATACTTTTTAATGCCAAAAATAAATCTCAAGCATGAATTTTGAACCTCCTGCACTCTATATAAATCAGCGGCACTCAACGATTCGCTATACACTGGAGAACAGTGAGAGAAATGAGACAACACCAAAGAATTGCACAAGTCAACCTTAATTTTAGGTGTTAGAGAACTTCTATGCGGATAGAGTTGTCTCAGAGCACTATAAGCTTTTTGAATACACGTTGATATATGTTTATTGTAGATAAATTTACTATCAATAATCAAACCCAGATTCCTCGCTTCCTCAACAATTTCCAAGGCAACACCATTTATGTTTAATTTAACGAGTTGGCAAATCTCGCTATAGCAATTTTTACTTGAAAAAACTAAAACTTTTGCTTTCAGAGGATTGAGAATCAAGTTATATTTATGAGACTGCTCATATGAATTTTAGAGATCAGTATTAATTGAATAAATAGAACGTTCAATATTATTTTTACTAAAGGAATAGTAAATTTGGGTGTCATCTGCATATGTATGAATCTGGGAATGTTTGATGACATGCGATAACCGCGATGTATAAAGGCAGAACAACAAAGGTCCCACAATAGAATCCTGTGGTACACCTCGTGTTAACTGTACGGATTTGGAGATTTGATGATTAACCTTAACTGTTTAATGTCTGTCAGTAAAATAACTTTTTATAAGAGCCAAAGCACCCTGAGAAAACCCATAGTAGTGAAGCATTGATATCAGAATTTCTGGATTCAGGCAGTCAAATGCTTTGCTGTAGTCTAATAACACCAAGACATCGCCTCTATCCAATGCGCCGAGTAAATCGTCAGTTACCTTTAGGAGTGCCGTCGTACAACGGTGACCGGCTCGAAATCCAGATTGATGAACAGGCAGAATTTCCGCACGCATTGCGTATTCTTTCATTTGCCTGTTCATAACATGCTCTAATTTCTTGGACATGATTGGCAGAATACTAATTGGACGCAGGTCCTTGAAGTCCTTAACCTCTGACGTCTTTGGAACAGGCTTAACAACTGCACTTTTCCAAGATTTGGGAAAATAGTTCGCGATTAAACAGCTATTTACAATATTTATCAGTGGATTCTTTAAGATAGGGAAACAAAGTTTTAGCATTATAATATTTATGCCATGGTGGCCTGCAGCACAGGTACTAATTTTTTTTAGTATGTTTAAAACATCTTCCTCTTCAATAGTAGAGAAACAAAATTGGTCATTAAGAGACACATTCTGAACACCTCCATTCTCAAAAAAATCAAGCAATTCCTTGTTATCCTGATCTATAATTGGAATGCTTTTAACAAAATATTCATTAAGATCCGCGTTATTTAGATTATTAGGAGTTTCAGTAATGGTATCTGATGTTTTTCCTATATTAATATTTTTTAACTGTTTCCACAGTTTTTTGGATTTTTTTCCCTAAGACAAAAAATTAAAATATGTCTTCTAATTATTAGGGTAACTCGATTTCTCAGTGTTTTATATTCATGCCATAGATCAGAAGATTTTGTTTGTTTGTATTTGGCTTTTACTTTATCGCAGATGGACATTAATTTGCATATGGTCCAATACACATGGGACATTTGAACAATGTCGGACAAGCCGATTTTAAGTAATTTAAATAAAAGTCTCATCTATTTTAAAACTGAAGAGGTAACAATGCAAAACCAGGAAAATGTCAATGTACCTTAAGTTGTCATCATATAATTTTGTCAATTTCAAATTGTATTTTCTAAACGTTACTCTTTTGCCTCATTCGAACAAGTTTTAAATTATAATAATACATTTAATACATTTCAGGGACACTAAGCAGAGGTGGCATAGGTACTACCGTATGATCGAAAAAAAAAACGGCGTCCAGTTGGCCGGGAAATGACGATCGATGACTTTCCCATATTACATATAAAATGACAGCGATCATTATTTCATAGCCATCGCTGACGCCGTTTTTTTTTCAATCATACGGTATAATGTAGTAGTGTAGACAGCACAACAAATTTAATTATATTTGGCAATGATAAAATCACATATTAACAACTTAAGGCATGTTGACATTTGAATGGTTCAGATCTGCAAGCTCACAGAAAACTTGAGTCTTTTTTTTTATTTAAATCATTTTAATGTCTTAAGTCATTTTTTGAAAACTGACTTAAGACTTAAAATTTAAGTCTTTTTCAAAATGATTTGTGATTTAAATCTTTATTTCGAAATAGAAAAAGATTTAAGTCTTTTTAGAAAACAGCTAAGTCATTAAAAAGATTTAAGTCTTTTTATAAAAGGCTTAAGTCAGATTTTTATATATTTTTATGATACGTTTTTAACAGCAGCATTCCTTTTTAAACTGTTAGGCCGGCGGCCAAGTAGCAGAATACAAAAAAACAATGCTCAATACCACTAGCAAATAAACGCGTTAATCTTTCGAAACCGGTTTTAATTATTTGTCGTATTACGCGTGCGTAGTGAGTCTGTTGTCTATCAAGTGAATCCGCGACTCCGTTATGTAGCCCGAAAGATGAACGAAAGAAATTTATCTCGAATATATTGAAGAGTACCTTAAATCTTCCAGCCCCAAAAATACATATTTTTGTGTTTGTATTTAGTCTGAAAATTAACCCTTTTATTTTATGTGATTTTAGTCTCTCTGTACCTACTATAAATTAATATTATGATACTCAGGGCCGGCGGAACGGCCGGATGCGAGGGGCGCCACGGCAACAACTAAAATATTTAAAAACAGTAACCTAAACAAATAGTAACGAATAACCAGATCAATAATTAATCGGTACTATCCATTTCCACATTAAAATATTAGCAAATACCACACCACATAGGGAAAAATATCTGACTCCTAATTACTGTAATATACAGGGTGAGTTTCCTACGATGTTCTCTATGGGTATCTCGGAAACTGCTGGAGATAGAGAGTCGGTTAAATGGGGAAAGAATTGCAGTTTTGGGGGGTCATAAATATGCGCCTTTCAGATTTTTGAAAAAGTTCATGGCTTACTAGATATTTCGAAAAAAACAAATTTCGGCTATTTTAAAAATTGTCCCTAACTCCATTATAAGATGTTTTAGACAAAAAGTTTTCAGATAAAAGTTGTAGATCATCACATCCTTAATGAGACTGTGCCCTCCGTTTTCTTCTAAAGCCTGTCATTTTTGACATATGACACAAACACAAACGCTTTTCTTCACTTACACACATATGCCAGAAAGAAATCTAACAACTAACCTGTTTGTTTCTTTTACTTAAGGCTTACAGTTCGTCTGCTGGATCTGTGTCTATGAAAGGAATGCGGACAAAAAACATTTAAATAAACAGCAATATATTTTATACGTCGAGTACGCCATGGAAACAAGTTCTCCACAACAAGAGTCTTTGCTCTCGGAAATGTGAAGCTGTCACATCCAAACTTGGTAAATTAAATTAAGCAAAAATTGTAAAAATTAATTTTTCAAATGCAGAAAAGCGTGTAGGATTATTGGTTCAACTTTTCTTGACCATATATTTTCGAGGATACGTTAACTGGTGAATGTTACGTTTTTTAGAGAACGGGTTTCAAGACATGTTAGAAAAGTTACATTTAGTTATAGCCAATTCTGATCTTTCTTGATTAATTTCAATTGGATTGCATGGTATTCTTGTTCTATTATGATTTATAAAACTTATAAGAGGTTAGAATATATTACTAAACGGTTCTTTACAATTTACATTGCATAAACTAAAACTTAAAAAATAATATCATTGCATACACTTTAAGTTATTTTAGAAAATCCGCCATTGTTTTGAGTTGCATCTTTTTAAAACTGAATTACTACCTATTCTCATAGAAGGACCGGTGGACTTAATTAAACTTCTCTCGTACCGCCACTTCGAGTGCCTCTCTTAATTCACAAATTCTTTTCTAAACCTTATTGTTAACCATACCGCATAAAAAAAATCTAAAATGGATAGGTCAGGTAATCGAGGAGGCCCATGCAATTGGCCAACCTCTCTCTATTCCTGAGTTTGCATAATTATGATATAAATAATTTTCATTATGACA